ACTGAGGGTGGGTGAGGGTCACCAAAGACACTAAGGGTTGGTGAGGGTCACCGGTCACCAGAGCACAATGGGGTTGGTGAGGGTCACCAAAGACACAGAGGGTTGGTGAGGGTCACCAAAGACACAGAGGGTTGGTGAGGGTCACCAAAGACATAGAGGGATGGTGAGGTTCACTAGAATACCTAACAATGAGTGCCGCTGAGGATTACTGCAATGTGCTGGACATGATACAGTGGCAGATTTTGTTATGAAGACAAAGACTGTAGATGCTGATTCTGACTGAAATAAAGCTTGTCATCTTGAGGCATCTTTAGTCTCTCTCTTCTTTTTGTCTGCATTCTGCTTAGTCTTTAGTTTGTAGCTCAAAAGCTTAAAGTTCAAAGTTAACATCATTAATGCAATTACAACAAGTTAAATTTGCATTACATCAGTTAACATAAAAATTAAACTAACATCTCACTTAACCAAAACTGGCCATGTGCATGAGTGTGAGTATGAATAGAGAGTGTATGGGTGTTTCGGGTTGCGGCTGGAAGGGCATCCGCTGCATAAAACATATGCCGGAATAGTTGACGGTTTATTCCGCTGTGGCAACCCCTGATAACCACCTGACTGCCTGAGGAAAATGAATGAATGAACGATGGTCTATTTTGTAGTACAAGAGGACAAATTCACTATGTTTAATAAAACAAGCCCGATTCCAGGATAAAAGGGTGCTTGGCAATTAAGGTGTTCTATTGCCATATGATCCTTTTGTTAAAAATGTTCATATAAAAATCTTTATCATTTTAAACAATGGACTGGAACTGGTAAAAAATAAAGCATCACTCCTGGAAGGACCCCATCGCGCTGATGGACTACAAATACCAGCAGACATATGAGCGACCGCACTACAAATCTCGCTTTGGCTAAAGCACAGAAAATGACAATCTTAAATGAATCTACAGCACGCTTATGATTATTTTAGGAAATACATTGATAAATGAGTGTTAATTTCGCTAACTAGTATACAAAATCGGTTTTAAACGATATAAATACAACGCCAATATGTAACCGGAAGTAGTTTCCCTTGTTGCATTATGACGCAGCGGAAAGCCAGTTTCCTTCCTTTCCTCCATTAGGTGAGTGCGTGGTAAGAGCGCGGTGCTTTGCTCTCTTCCTTTTTGTCGAAAAAACACATTATTTTTCCAATGATATACACGCGTTGTCCTTATTAAATCAATTGTTATTGTGTACGTTACAGATCGCAACCATGGGCCGCCGTCCAGCCCGTTGGTAAGTTGTGAATTTGGTGTTTTAAAAAGTAGCCGCACTGAAAATGGCAGGCCCCGCTAACCATGTGCAGCCCGCCGGCCACATACAAGGAGTAGTGACAGGACACTCCCGAGCTCTGCTTTCTGATACTAACAAGTGTTTATATAAAACAACTTTAAATTTAAATTAAATGCATCATAGGTTATTTGTTGGAAGAAGTGGTTTTGGTGTCAGGCTAACAAATTAGCCTCCCAACAGTCACTTTAATGTTATTTGACATTTTTACTGTTTGCAGCGTAATAGTTAAATAAGATCTTATGGTAACTTTATAAACTGTCGTATATTCCTATATATAACTGAAATCATATATTTGTTATTCAATCTACAAGTCGTTATTGACGTTAGGATGCGGAGTTTTAGTCTTGTTAATGGTCTACTGTCTTTTCCAGTTACAGATACTGTAAGAACAAGCCTTACCCCAAGTCCCGTTTCTGTCGAGGTGTTCCTGGTAAGCCATGTATTTTTTTTTGTGTGTGTAGTATGGCACTTAAAGTAATTTATTGGGATGTAATGCTAATTGTCTTGTTGCATAAAACAAGAATGTTATTTTGTCCATTTACTTAAAGTATATTTGTCAGCTCATGACTTAAATGTAACATTAGGGATAGTTTACTCAGAAATAAAAAATTGCCATTTGCTTATCAAGTTGTTACAAACCTTTGAGTTTTTACTGTCAAACAAGATATTTTTAAAGCTGTAAATTAGTAATTGTTGACTTTAACAGTATTGTTTTTTTTCTAAGGATGTCAATGTCTTCAGCTTTATTGTGTTACACGTAATAATTTTAATAAAATCAGCATAAATGGCAAAAATCTAGCTGTAAAGATACGTTTTTGATCAAGTTTTACCATTTTCTGTTCCAGGGACATTGGTTAACATGTTTACATGATCATTCTAACCTAGTTTAATTATGTAAAGTTGGTCTAGAATGTGTCTGTAAAAACGCTGTGGGAATGCAAAATGTGCGCATTAGTGTTATCTCTGTATAAATCAATCAGTTTAAGGTTTGTTCTGTCTCTTTACCAAACTCAGATCCCAAAATCAGGATCTTCGACTTGGGCAGGAAGAAGGCTAAGGTGGATGAGTTTCCCCTGTGTGCTCACATGGTGTCTGATGAGTATGAGCAGCTGTCCAGTGAAGGTGAGAGATGCTGCGCTTACTGAATTTTACAATTTGACATTACATTTCAAGCACTGTAGTTCTGGGTCATATTTAAAATATTATACAAAAAAATAAAAACTGCTCCTAACTTGCTTTTTTTTTTGATAGAATTGTAAAAAAATAAATAATAAAATTTGGTGTCAGTCCTAAATTTTAGACTGTAATGTTATGTATCTTTATTTATTTGCTTTGAGTATTTCACAAAGTAATTTAGTGCTAAAACTACTCCTAAATCAGTGAGATGTTAGAGCACTGTAGAGGACTCCTAAAACACTAAGACCAAACCATAAACTTTCCTAAAAAGGCTGTTGCTGGCAATCTGCATTCGGAAAGGAAAACGTTTTTAAAAATTTGACTGAGCTTTTGAAAAGTTAAATCTTTTAAGTAATTATGCAAATATATTCTATAAGTAAATAGTATTTTTTATCTTCTCTGCAGCTTATTAAGCCGACTGGACAGGTTGTGTGTACTTGTGTGGTGTGCAAAGGCTGCAGACAGTGAATCTTTGGTTGTGTATGAGCCTGGCTGGGTAGTGCCGGGCCCTTTAAGGGACCATTGAAACATGCCATTGCTGAACATTAAAAAAAAGAGCATATGATTGTCAAGTTCTATTTTTACACATTTTGTATACCTTTTTAAATATTTAAAACCATTTAATATTTGCTAGATTTTAGAAAAATGCGTAAATTTTACATGGGAAGGATCTTTATTTAATGTCTAAAACATTTAAAAGCAAGGAACATACATTATACCACGCAATTATTATCTTCAGCTGCATTTAAAATTTCTTTTAAAGTGACACTTTTTAAAAAAAACCTTTATTTGAATATAGCATCACTTTCTTAGCCAAGTTTTCAATCTCTTGCGGAGACCCCTCCTATCCCTATCAGCCAATCACTGTACATAATTGGTAATCATGCTGACATCATCCATAGCAACAAGGTTAACCCCACTCCTACTCTCCGCTTAAGACTTATAAACTCTTTATTCCATTGTAAACATTTGTCTCAGCAGCTTTGTGAATATCTTTTGAGAACTCTTAGATAATAACATTTAACTTTTCTTTAGAAAATATCTGTGTTGAGATGAAATTCTGATGATTTTTTTAATCCGCTGATTCATTTGTCTAGCTCTTGAGGCTGCCCGTATCTGCGCCAACAAGTATATGGTGAAGACTTGCGGTAAAGATGGCTTCCACATCCGCGTGCGCCTGCACCCCTTCCACGTCATCCGCATCAACAAAATGTTGTCCTGTGCCGGAGCTGATAGGTGAGCTGCTGTTTGCTCTGATATACTCTACTGCAGCTTATTAAGCCGACTGGACAGGTTGTGTGTACTTGTGTGGTGTGCAAAGGCTGCAGACAGTAAATCTTTGGTTGTGTATGAGCCTAGCTGGGTAGTGCTGGGCCCTTTAAGGGACCATTGAAACATGCCATTGCTAAATTTATTTATATTTGTTTTACAAATTCGAGCACTTTTAAGGGAATTAAACTGAGTTATGGTGTCTTCCAGGCTCCAGACTGGTATGCGTGGTGCGTTCGGGAAGCCTCAGGGCACAGTGGCCCGTGTGCACATTGGCCAGGTCATCATGTCTGTGCGCACAAAGGCCCAGAACAAGGAGCATGTGATTGAGGCTCTGAGGAGAGCCAAGTTCAAGTTCCCTGGCCGTCAGAAGGTAATGCAACACAAATGAAAACTTTAATTTGTAATTGTGAAGCGGTCGCTGATGTTGGATTTCTTTCTCTTTAGATCCACGTGTCCAAGAAGTATGGCTTCACAAAGTTCAACACGTGTGACTTTGATAACATGCTGGCGGAGAAGCGTCTGATTCCTGATGGCTGCGGGGTGAAATACATCCCCAGCCGTGGACCCCTGAGCCGCTGGAAGGCCCTTCATGCCAACTAAGCACCTCACACTTGCTTTCGTTTGTGTGAAAAAGGCTCAAATGACCACAAATAAAGTCCATTCTTTGATTTTTCTAGTCTTGCTGTTGTTTTTCCAAGCTCTAAACTGAACACCTGTGGAAGTCCTAACTTGTAGTTTTATTTTGAAATATAATTGTACCCAATAAACACAATTAAAAATGTTATTTAAGATTCATAAACCCTTGTGTAATTCAAATAGAATATCTGTTTCAGATGGAAATAACTGAGATGCATACTTTCATAAACAATTTAATGCTGCAATGGTATCTCTGTTTAGTAGATGAGTTCATAAAAAAAAAGTGAATTTAGTAAAAAGCTAAATATATTTCCAGTGTATTTGATGTTTTTTTTATTCAAAATAACTTGATTCCTTGAAAAAACTAATTGACATGCAAAGATAATTTGATTTCTCAGGTCTGACATGATCCAAACAAAATGTCACATTATTAAAAATATTGTTATTGTAAGAAAAACATATAGGGTTTTATTTTCTAACTGATATGCAGGTGTCAATTTATCTGAATATTATATATAAAAATATTGAATGTTTAATAAACGAAATGTATTTGATCCACAGAAATTAAAACCATGACACGCTAGTGGGATTCAGAAAGTTCAATAGCGTCCCCTTTTGGAACATTTAACAGTAAGTAAAGTAGGACCAATTCAAGTGAACTTGTTAAAGGAATTGTTGAATTGTCAGATCACATTAAATGCATATTACAAAATAATTTTGCATTGCTTGGCTTTTGGTTTAGGTTCTTTGAAACATTTTTAAAAAATAAATAAAACAATCTTCCAAGAAAAATAACTTCCTCTTTATCAGGCCACATCCTTCCGCTAGACAATTTTTGTTTTGTCACTTGAAACCTACATGAATGACTTTCTGACTGGGCAAATTAAGCAACATGGAAACTTGTGCATAATGTTCTTTTATCTTTCTTTTTTTTTTCACTACATTTAACTACCTTCAATATAAAACAACTACCTTCAAAATTTCCATTAGAGGATGTAGAAAAAGCTTAGTTGATAAAAACAGAAATGTAACGATAATAACAGAAAAAAAAAAAATCTTTTTTTACAAAAAAAAGCATGCTGAAAATAACACCTGAGCCAATTCATCATTATATTCGAAAAGCCATAAAACACGCTAAGAATTTAATCTTCAGTCACTCTCCAACGCATTCTGAGCTCAAGTACAACAGAGCTGTGTAACAGCAGAGTAAAGTCTTCATCTGGGCCAGATGAATAATCCACTTGTAGTTCATACAATCATCTGCATGAGCAGTAAAGCATTCAGGACAAACACAGCAGGCAGAAGACAAGGAGCTTCACTGTATCTTGTGGACATCCTTGATTTCACATCCTTGAGGACCACCTCTATGGGGTAGTGATCGCTCACTTCTAGAGCCTAGAAAACACAATCCTGCGTTCAGTAACAGCAGTATAAAAGGTAAAAGCTGTATTTGGCTTATTTGGTATTACCTGAGCCTCTGTAAGAAGGAATTCCTTGGGAAAGTTAAACGGCTGTGCTGAAAATGGTTCAATTGATCTGAGAAAGGGCTCTCCATGCACAACAATTCTGTTGATTGTAGATATAAAAATGAAGCATTGAAGTCAAGCAGATGATGTGTTTAAAATAAGACATTATAAGAGTATTCTAACTTCTCTACAGTTTAGTTTTAAAAATGTATAGCCTGACTGAAGTAGTATGTCTGAATTGAGTATTCATAAAAACACTACACTATTTACAATAAAAGTGGGAGGAAAAACCACGAAGAAGTTTTTACAGTGATGCCATAGAAGGATGTTTTAGGATTCCTTAAAGAACTTTTTAAAGAAACCTTCTTTAAATGATGATTTGCACATTGTGTGAAGAACTTTTGATAATCTAAAGAAACTTGTACCTCTATAAAGAACCTTTTGTGGAATGAAAGGTTCCATAGACGTTAAAGGATTCTTCATGGAACACTAACAAAATAGTTATTTACCAAAGTGTAGATGAAAAGTGAGCTACTGCTTCCAAATCTGTGTAAAATTCAAAGTTAACTGCTACTTACAATTGTGAGTTGGAATAATTGAGTTTATATATGCAAGCTGAAAATTGTGAATAATCCACAAACTTTCCATTTTAAAAAATAAAACATGCCATAAAAAATGCATTGAAAACACAAATCTGATTTCTAAGATCAAGGTAACACTTTATTTTAAGGTGTCCTTGTAAGGTGTACACGTTTTATGTACTTACTATAGAAAGTAAAAAAAAAATCATTTTGAAAACGAAATGCATTGATTTTATTTTTTTGCTGTTTGAAACAACTAACACTCATTTGGGGGATGGTGGGTCTCTAGCGGGGGGGGTCTTTGGAACGACCGCTGGCAAACGCTATGGATGAGCTCACCGGGGGCGTTGGTTGGACCAGGGGGAGAGCCCACCAAGCCATGCCCGGATAGAGACCACTCTCTCCGGCATGACCCGCGCCTGGAGGGGGGGGTAGCGCGTCCCTGGGTTTCGCTGACCTGCCGTCGAGTTTTCGATAACAGACTCAAATGAAGGACTTAGTGCAATTTTCGATTTCGCGGTTGAACGAACCAGGGGTCTAACGAGGGCCCCGTTGCCCCAAAACAAGCGTTCAAACCCGGGCAAACCAAATGCGCACTGCTGCCCTGGTCCTTCCAAGGATCCAGGCCTCTTGGCCAGCAAAGCTAACCCAAAAACAAGCGTTCAAATCCGGGCAAACCAAATGCGCACTGCTGCCCTGGTCCTTCCAAGGATCCAGGCCTCTTGGCCAGCAAAGCTAACCCAAAAACAAGCGTTCAAATCCGGGCAAACCAAATGCGCACTGCTGCCCTGGTCCTTCCAAGGATCCAGGCCTCTTGGCCAGCAAAGCTAACCCCAAAAACAAGCGTTCAAACCCGGGCAAACCAAGTGGGCACTGCTGCCCTGGTCCTTCCAAGGACCCAGGCCTCAATGGCCAGCAAAGCTACCCCAAAACAAGCGTTCAAATCCGGGCAAACCAAATGCGCACTGCTGCCCTGGTCCTTCCAAGGATCCAGGCCTCTTGGCCAGCAAAGCTAACCCAAAAACAAGCGTTCAAATCCGGGCAAACCAAATGCGCACTGCTGCCCTGGTCCTTCCAAGGATCCAGGCCTCTTGGCCAGCAAAGCTAACCCAAAAACAAGCGTTCAAATCCGGGCAAACCAAATGCGCACTGCTGCCCTGGTCCTTCCAAGGATCCAGGCCTCTTGGCCAGCAAAGCTAACCCCAAAAACAAGCGTTCAAACCCGGGCAAACCAAGTGGGCACTGCTGCCCTGGTCCTTCCAAGGACCCAGGCCTCAATGGCCAGCAAAGCTACCCCAAAACAAGCGTTCAAATCCGGGCAAACCAAGTGCGCACTGCTGCCCTGGTCCTTCCAAGGATCCAGGCCTCTTGGCCAGCAAAGCTAACCCCAAAAACAAGCGTTCAAACCCGGGCAAACCAAGTGGGCACTGCTGCCCTGGTCCTTCCAAGGACCCAGGCCTCAATGGCCAGCAAAGCTACCCCAAAACAAGCGTTCAAATCCGGGCAAACCCAGTGCGCACTGCTGCCCTGGTCCTTCCAAGGATCCAGGCCTCTTGGCCAGCAAAGCTAACCCAAAAACAAGCGTTCAAATCCGGGCAAACCAAATGCGCACTGCTGCCCTGGTCCTTCCAAGGATCCAGGCCTCTTGGCCAGCAAAGCTAACCCAAAAACAAGCGTTCAAATCCGGGCAAACCAAGTGCGCACTGCTGCCCTGGTCCTTCCAAGGATCCAGGCCTCTTGGCCAGCAAAGCTAACCCAAAAACAAGCGTTCAAATCCGGGCAAACCAAATGCGCACTGCTGCCCTGGTCCTTCCAAGGATCCAGGCCTCTTGGCCAGCAAAGCTAACCCAAAACAAGCGTTCAAATCCGGGCAAACCAAGTGGGCGCTGCTGCCCTGGTCCTTCCAAGGACCCAGGCCTCAATGGCCAGCAAAGCTACCCCAAAACAAGCGTTCAAATCCGGGCAAACCAAGTGGGCGCTGCTGCCCTGGTTCTACCAAGGACCCAGGCCTCAATGGCCAGCAAAGCTACCCCAAAACAAGCGTTCAAATCCGGGCAAACCAAGTGCGCACTGCTACCCTGGTCCTTCCAAGGATCCAGGCCTCTTGGCCAGCAAAGCTAACCCAAAAACAAGCGTTCAAATCCGGGCAAACCAAATGCGCACTGCTGCCCTGGTCCTTCCAAGGATCCAGGCCTCTTGGCCAGCAAAGCTAACCCAAAAACAAGCGTTCAAATCCGGGCAAACCAAATGCGCACTGCTGCCCTGGTCCTTCCAAGGATCCAGGCCTCTTGACCAGCAAAGCTAACCCAAAAACAAGCGTTCAAATCCGGGCAAGGCCAGTGGTCTGAACACCATGGGAGTCAGGGTTCCATGGCAGGCCACCGCGCGCAAAGGCCTATGTGGGTCACCAACGGTAAGCGATGGGTCAGAAAGAGCCAGGGGGGGGGGGGTCTTTGGTGATCAGTGCTTGCCCGGGATAAGTGAGGGTGTATTGGGCAGAGAGCGCGTGACATGAAGCCTCGGAGGCCAATGGTTCACCAGCGGCACCATTTACGCACCAGCTGAGACCTAAGTGCGCTCACCGGGGGCGTTCGTTGGACCAGGGGGAGAGCTCACCAAGCCATGCCCGGAAAGAGACCACTCTCTCCGGCATGACCCGCGCCTGGAGGGGGTGGTAGCGCGTCCCTGGGTTTCGCTGACCTGCCGTCGAGGTTTCGATAACAGACTCAAAAGAAGGACTTAGTGCAATTTTCGATTTCGCGGTTGAACGAACCAGGGGTCTGACGAGGGCCCCGTTGCCCCAAAACAAGCGTTCAAACCCGGGCAAACCAAGTGGGCACTGCTGCCCTGGTCCTTCCAAGGATCCAGGCCTCTTGGCCAGCAAAGCTAACCCAAAAACAAGCGTTCAAATCCGGGCAAACCAAATGCGCACTGCTGCCCTGGTCCTTCCAAGGATCCAGGCCTCTTGGCCAGCAAAGCTAACCCCAAAAACAAGCGTTCAAATCCGGGCAAACCAAATGCGCACTGCTGCCCTGGTCCTTCCAAGGATCCAGGCCTCTTGGCCAGCAAAGCTAACCCCAAAAACAAGCGTTCAAATCCGGGCAAACCAAATGCGCACTGCTGCCCTGGTCCTTCCAAGGACCCAGGCCTCAATGGCCAGCAAAGCTACCCCAAAACAAGCGTTCAAATCCGGGCAAACCAAGTGGGCGCTGCTGCCCTGGTCCTTCCAAGGATCCAGGCCTCTTGGCCAGCAAAGCTAACCCAAAAACAAGCGTTCAAATCCGGGCAAACCAAATGCGCACTGCTGCCCTGGTCCTTCCAAGGATCCAGGCCTCTTGGCCAGCAAAGCTAACCCAAAAACAAGCGTTCAAATCCGGGCAAACCAAATGCGCACTGCTGCCCTGGTCCTTCCAAGGATCCAGGCCTCTTGGCCAGCAAAGCTAACCCAAAAAACAAGCGTTCAAATCCGGGCAAACCAAATGCGCACTGCTGCCCTGGTCCTTCCAAGGACCCAGGCCTCAATGGCCAGCAAAGCTACCCCAAAACAAGCGTTCAAATCCGGGCAAACCAAGTGGGCGCTGCTGCCCTGGTCCTTCCAAGGATCCAGGCCTCTTGGCCAGCAAAGCTAACCCAAAAACAAGCGTTCAAATCCGGGCAAACCAAATGCGCACTGCTGCCCTGGTCCTTCCAAGGATCCAGGCCTCTTGGCCAGCAAAGCTAACCCAAAAACAAGCGTTCAAATCCGGGCAAACCAAGTGGGCGCTGCTGCCCTGGTCCTTCCAAGGATCCAGGCCTCTTGGCCAGCAAAGCTAACCCAAAAACAAGCGTTCAAATCCGGGCAAACCAAATGCGCACTGCTGCCCTGGTCCTTCCAAGGATCCAGGCCTCTTGGCCAGCAAAGCTAACCCAAAAACAAGCGTTCAAATCCGGGCAAACCAAGTGGGCGCTGCTGCCCTGGTCCTACCAAGGACCCAGGCCTCAATGGCCAGCAAAGCTACCCCAAAACAAGCGTTCAAATCCGGGCAAACCAAGTGCGCACTGCTGCCCTGGTCCTTCCAAGGATCCAGGCCTCTTGGCCAGCAAAGCTAACCCAAAAACAAGCGTTCAAATCCGGGCAAACCAAATGCGCACTGCTGCCCTGGTCCTTCCAAGGATCCAGGCCTCTTGGCCAGCAAAGCTAACCCAAAAACAAGCGTTCAAATCCGGGCAAACCAAATGCGCACTGCTGCCCTGGTTCTACCAAGGATCCAGGCCTCTTGGCCAGCAAAGCTAACCCCAAAAACAAGCGTTCAAATCCGGGCAAGGCCAGTGGTCTGAACACCATGGGAGTCAGGGTTCCATGGCAGGCCACCGCGCGCAAAGGCCTATGTGGGTCACCAACGGTAAGCGATGGGTCAGAAAGAGCCAGGGGGGGGGGGGGTCTTTGGTGATCAGTGCTTGCCCGGGATAAGTGAGGGTGTATTGGGCAGAGAGCGCGTGACATGAAGCCTCGGAGGCCAATGGTTCACCAGCGGCACCA